AACGGGATGAACAGGCGCACGTCTGACAGACAGTCGGAGGTGCCACCGAGGTTAGGTTAGGTTAGGTTAAGATAGGTTAGGTTAGGTTCCTCCCCATGGGATCCGCCTTGTCCTGGAGGGGGGGGGCTTGCGGGCTCTTAATTGAGTCTTACTAAGCGATCCCGGTCTAAGTCAGACTTATTTCAGAGACTCACCTTAACTGGTGGGTCAGGCTTGGTCCACCTGCAAGCGCCTGCAAACAGACATAGGTGAAGGTAACACTGACTTAAAATCCCCCTGGCGGAAGGGCTAAAACGCAAGGGAGAGGCCCCCTTTCAAAAACTCATTATGGAAGTCGACGACGGAAATTTTGTTACTGCACCAGGGGATTCGGACCCTCGGGTGCCGGCAGCAGTGAGTGGATCCGGGGTAACAGCCGGGTCCAACGTAGCGGGCTCACTGCGGTCGTTATCAAGCGACCGTGAGAGTGCGGGGGTGGCCAGCCAGGCCCCTGCCACTCTACCAAATACTAGCGCTGAGACAGACGTGTCTACGTTAGGTACGCAACACCAGGGTGACGCCGACAGCGCGTCTACACCCAAGTCACGTATCAAGCTAGCCGGAGTGACGGAACCCACGACTAGGTCAGTCAACATTTCGTCCCTGGACGAAGAGGAGCTATTATCCATGATGCAGAGGTGCATCAAGTCAATGTTAGCATTTGCAGAGGCTAATCGAAATGTGCACAAGGAATTAAGGTAGGGCCTACAAATGGCTCTCTTAAGAAGACGTGTACGTATTAATCAGTGATATAGAACTACTATTAGTTCTAAGTTTTATATTTTCTTGGATCTAATATATATTTTTATGGTCTGTGTCTGAGTAGCGAGTACAGTTAACTGTAGTTCCCATGTTCTATCTTAATGCAGTGGTGTAATTGATTAATTTATGATTGCGATGATTTGGCAACAGCACATGGATCTAATAAGCACTATGCTATAAAATATTGAAACACATATGGTTTTCATAAGTTATAGATTTTATTCTTTAGATCTCTCAACGTAATAAAATAACTTTTTCACACTCTGGATCTCGCAATGAAAGATGACAATTAAAATAAACTTAAGTGTTTCTTATAATTTTATTTGTGTGTTATAGTCAAAGGATTTTTTAATCATTTTACCACTTACTCCCTTGTCGATATGACGTTTTTAAATGATGGATCTCGCATGGATGCATTTCCCATATTTATATGGACATTATGAATTAATGTAATCGTTAGAGACTTAACACGTGAGGGACGTGAAAAGTGAGCGTTCGACTATCTCAACCTACTGTATGTGACACGCTATGTTGAAGGGAGCCGTGTCGGGTCGTCTCGAACTACGTTTAGACAATTTATAAAGTAGAGTAATTTTAAGTATTTCGCGTAATATAATATTATTAATACTATACTTAATATTATTTTAATAAATGATATTATATGAAAATACAATGTATTGTATTATTGAATTTATTAATTATATATAAAATATAGGAAAAAATAGTAAGTATATTTATTTTATACTAGATATATAACCACTTGGAATAAAAGAATAAGAATATTATTAATATAATATATAATTGTAAATAATAATAAATACTATAAATATTTAAAGACGGTGTGATAATTATAGTGTGAATATACTAGAGTATAAGAGTGGTCACGTACTGACTAGCTAGTGACACTTATATGAGTAGGTTAGGTTAGGTATACATTTGTGATATATTTTAGTGATGGCAAAATTTTAAGTTTATGGTTACTAAAATATTATCAATTAATTTACCATGTTAAATGACTGTTTCACATAATATTTTTCAAATATTTCAAGATATATGTAAAGCATTAAAATAATAGCTACTGATGAGGTCTTACATATACCAACTTTCTATACATAATAATTATAGCGATCTAAAGTATTTTCATACATTTAGTGTTAGTATCGTGAGTTCATATACATACTTAATGTCTATTTTAATGAAACTGGGACATAAAAAAAACTGGGACATTGTTGCAGACATGGCCAGAGGGATTATGAAAAAGAAAGAATATGAAGAAAGAAGAAGGCAAGCCTTGCAACTCGATTCCACCATATGAACATAGTTAAACTCATAAATTGTGCGCTGAAAGCGAAATTAGAGGGGATAGAGCACTTCAAACACTGTTAATTCAAATGTTCGACCGCGAATAGGGGTATTGTCCCTATGCGCAGTCCTAAAATATGTGTAATTTTCTTTATAAATAATGGGACATAGGGGTGAAATAACCGGAAGGTTAGTACCACACTATGTTCTGATACCTATGTAAAAAAAAAAAAATAAAAAAAAAAAAACAATATCACGGAGTTGCTGAGGAGGACTCCGACAACTGAAGATGTCGAGGACATTCTGACAGGCCCACTGTCGGAGAGCCTCCCAGCAGACCAGACCACCAGGACACAACTTCTGGCACAAGTCACGAAGGCACGGCCAATCGCACTGAACTCGTGATAATGATAGATCTCATCATCACACGGAAGGAATCTGACGAACGGGATGAACAGGCGCACGTCTGACAGACAGTCGGAGGTGCCACCGAGGTTAGGTTAGGTTAGGTTAAGATAGGTTAGGTTAGGTTCCTCCCCATGGGATCCGCCTTGTCCTGGAGGGGGGGGGCTTGCGGGCTCTTAATTGAGTCTTACTAAGCGATCCCGGTCTAAGTCAGACTTATTTCAGAGACTCACCTTAACTGGTGGGTCAGGCTTGGTCCACCTGCAAGCGCCTGCAAACAGACATAGGTGAAGGTAACACTGACTTAAAATCCCCCTGGCGGAAGGGCTAAAACGCAAGGGAGAGGCCCCCTTTCAAAAACTCATTATGGAAGTCGACGACGGAAATTTTGTTACTGCACCAGGGGATTCGGACCCTCRGGTGCCGGCAGCAGTGAGTGGATCCGGGGTAACAGCCGGGTCCAACGTAGCGGGCTCACTGCGGTCGTTATCAAGCGACCGTGAGAGTGCGGGGGTGGCCAGCCAGGCCCCTGCCACTCTACCAAATACTAGCGCTGAGACAGACGTGTCTACGTTAGGTACGCAACACCAGGGTGACGCCGACAGCGCGTCTACACCCAAGTCACGTATCAAGCTAGCCGGAGTGACGGAACCCACGACTAGGTCAGTCAACATTTCGTCCCTGGA